TCCTTGTTATTGTTTAAATTTTGGGGGTAATAAATATTAAACTAATGAAAATGGTGTTTCTTCTCATTCATTATTAGTAATATCAAAGGGAACTTTTACTTATTTCATTAAAATTCAGACCAAATAGCAAAAGCACTCATGTAAATAACAATATCCCTAACTTATTGTGAGTAGTCTACTTCTGTCTGTCCTATTCTTGTGAATGCAATATCCCAGAAAAGTCTTGAGAGAATTTCTTCAATATGGTTCAGACATTCTCTTGGACTCATCGATGCACTAATTAGAATTTGGTGGTTAAAGGTCACATTTCTGGCCATAGCTTAAGAATTCATCCATTAATTATGACAAAGCAAATTAAGACAGAAACTTTAAACACAAAATGTCTTAGAGGATTAAATGATAAAGTGATGACATTTTAAATCCAAAAGGTCAAAGGTCAGCTTCACTCCAACATCTAATCTTTCATAAAAAAAATACTTTTTTGGTCATTATTCACAGCCATCTCATAGTGGCCATTGTGACCATGTTTCACGTTTGGTCAAATACTAAATTGTAATAAAAGAATTAATTTGACCCAGATGGAATCATAGCCAGAAGATGAGCCTGGTAACAAAATAGAGGTAGAAATGAGACCTTTTGTTGAGCCATAACTTGTTTTAACCTTTGACCTTTCCCACATAGTGATATGACCCTTTAAAGTTTACCCAGAATTAACTTTTTTATAGTTTTCTCTAGTGAATATTAGAAAACGGGTAATAGAGCCAGGGTACGTTTCCATTACCTGATTCTGATCAATCAGGTGACTGATCAGAATCAGCTGATTCTGAGGAATTGGTTGGGAGGCACTGATTGATTTTTCCAATGAATAACCCGTATAATAAATTACCACATGACAGTAGTTCAACTCAGAGAGGTATAAATCTTAATTAACTTTAATTTGATTGAATTTGACACAAAAGTTGAGATATAGATTAGAAATAGAGAAGCGATCGCTAATGAAAGAAATTAATAGCTGTGCAGTATTGGTGAAGTGTCAGTACAGCATATGACATCCACAATCTAATTATGAACGTTAATAACGCTCCCAGAAAATCAAAAAAAAAAAAGCGAATGCAGTTTTTTCATCAATGACATTGGCACCTTAGTGTCCTTTGTCAGGTTTAAAAGTATTTTCAAGGGTGCATGGGAAGGGGATGGGGGTGCGTGAGGCTGAACCTTGGTGTTGATGACTGAGCTGAATTCAGCTGCATGATGGTAATATTACCTGCTCTGTATAATACTGGGGTCTATTTTCAACAGTTAAAGTCTGGTTGTTGTCAAGAAATCACTTATATAATGTGTTGCTTACATACTGTATTAATTGGTGCAATAAATAAGAGCATTCACAAGTGGAATCCCATGAACCTCCTGGACTGCCTTTTAGCACTGTGCCCCTGCTCTTCAAGTATGATTTAATTAAAGCTTTAATAGCACAAGCAAACCATGGAGGCACTAAAATGATTGTGGAAAAACTCTGTCCAGAGAGGGATAACAGGTTAACAGATTTTATTTTTTTTAAAACATTATTTCAGTGCCTGTGATTAAATATTCTAAACTTAAGGTTCACTTCACTTCGTACCTTCTTCTAGAGAGTTCAGTCTGACCACAGCATAGCAAGCACATCTGGCTTGGCTTGCATTAGTTGTTTGCATTAGATTTTCCTACCCCCGCTGTTATTCGGAAGGACAGGAAGACAGGCTTGTGGTCCCCCATGCAGACATTGGGCCCAGTGTTATCATAGACTATAGACTTCTCCTCATTTTCAGGCTTTAAGACCAGGTCTCTGGCAGAGGGAGACATGAGGATTCGGTCACACCAGAACTGATTTAAAGAATAGGACGTTTATGAAATTCAAAATGACATGTAATAGTTTTGGAAGTCCTTGATTTTGTAGAAAGTGTCTTCCATTACAATGTCCAGATCTCTAAACCACACTGTTGTAGGTAAGTTAGTTTAATTGTGATCTACTTCACAATTGGGAAACCAAAGAAAAAAATGATATTTAAATTCATATCCCACTTTCCATTGTGTCAAAATATGGAAGCAAGATACGCTGAAAATGTCACATCCTTGTTATATTAAAGCTCTACAGTTGCCACACTGCCCCCAAACTATTAGAAAACACATGTCATCATGTCATCATGTGACATATTTTACATATATATTTGATCTTTGAAAATTTTTGCCACTTTATAGTTAAAATTAACAGGACAACACGTTTGCCAGCTACAGCCACTTGTGACAAGGATGTGGTTATTGTTGGTAATCTTACACATATAGACTGAACACAGTACGATACTGTTTCTGCAATTTACCGAACTAACGGCTAAAAGGTATTCAGCAAGGACAAGTCCACGGAGCAGCTGAACTATGGATGGTGCCATTGTCTAGTATCATATCAGGGTGGCAAATGCAGTTTTTTTCAAGCAGCAAATATTTTACAGATATTTAGGCTGTGCTTATACAAACAAATAGGAATACAGAAAATAGCTAAATTGGAGGTTTGTCCCTTTGCAGTCCCTTTGATGCTGACCTGTTGTGCTTTCCTTTGTTTTAGTAGTACTAACAGCCTGAAACAGCAGTGATGTGTTACGGTTTCCATATGTCTACCCATTTCTTTCCAAGATGCCACCCTCATCTCTAACTTTCTCCCCTCACAGACAAACAGGACTCCTGGTTATGGGACCAGAGAAGAGTCACTATTACGCACAAGTCAAGAACACCCTGCAGAAGAACAAGGTTCCTATGGTCACCCTGACCCCTGACAACTTCAGCCAGCACATCCCCCATTTCAGACTGGCTGAGGGAGACGGAGCAGTAGTGGAAGTAACAGCTGGAATTCTGTATGCTGACCGTGCACTCAAAGCTGTACAGGTACAGATATGATACCATGTGTAGGACATTAGGTACTGAAGTCACATCTGACTGTTCTTATGCCGTTTGGTTTAATAATGTTGCAGCGGTTTGAAATTTGACAAATCTAATGGCCTGAATTACAAAAATAGAATACAAATAGTATGTTTCCTTTAATCTTTAATTAAGAACTAGAAAGTTTATTCAGCCACAGTGATCTGTAGCCCACATTTTCAAATGTCAAAGATATTCAGAGTGCATGGTGAATATAAAAGTTCTCAATATCTACACCCTTGACATGCTAAAAGGCACTGCCCTTTCAGATAACTTTTGTGAACATTATGTAATTCAGCAGCAGAAAAATAGTGAGTGTCCTGAAGTAATGTCAACAAAAATACATTAACCTTTGTGTGTCTACCAGGGTTCATGGCAGAAAGCTGGACTTTGAATTTATCACTGCAGTGAACTCTGAACATTATTCCTACATCAAAAACCTCTGAGAGCAGAGAGCGGAAGCAATGAAAGATTAAACAAGAAACTTTTCTGTTTCTATGGACAAGCAGCAGATAGAAAAATGGGTGGAAAATACAAAGATGTGGATAATTTAACATATTTCATGCCCATCGTTCTAATCTAATAATAGCTTATACTAGGAATATCTTTCAGCAATAAATTTGCATTGCTGCATTCTGTCAGTAAGGAGAAGAAGCAGTGGAGGAGAACAGACTCATCCATGGCTGCCAGGTCAAGCACAAAACACTGCTTTGTTATTTCAGTGAGGTGCTACTTTCAGTTGACTGGACAGATTGTTGAGTCACGTTTTTGTGAAGCAGCAGTCAATTATGAATTAAAGCATTAAGTAAGAGATGGGAAATACATTAGTAGGTTATTGCTTTGTTCCTTTAATACAGTGGCTTTGTAATTGCCTCTTGCTTTTAAGAGTATATATAAATACATTTGTGTGTGTCTGGCACTTCTCTTAATGTCTTCTAATTTTCTCTCTCTTCTAAATCAAACATTTATTACCGTATGCAGGGCCACATCCCACAAACTCTTTGCCTTGATGACTAATTTTCACGCTATTAACATTATATTATTCAACTTCATAGTGTCGTCGTCTGGAATGTTTTTAGTTAACAGTTGAACCTCATGAACCTTGTGAAATTCTTGCTTTCCTAACTGTTGTTTGAGCTTATTACTTGTGCTTTGCCCAGGTCATGTTGGTATTCAGCAAACAGCCCTTTTCAGCTGCCGTAATGTATATTATGGTCAGAACCTCTCAGCTAAGTAGAGACAGGCAACAGTCCATCATTAACTTTAAGACATGAAGGTCAGTCAGTTGCGAAAATGTCAAGAACTTTGAAAGTTTCTTCAAGTTCAGTTGAAAACTCATTATACTCTGCGATGAAACTGGCTCTCATGACGACTCCAGGAAAGGAAGACTAAGAGTTTTCTCGGCTGCAGAGAGTTAATTAGTTAATCAGAGTTTGCAGCCTCAGGAATCACTCATTAACAGTTGCTCAGATTAGAGCATCGGTGTTTCCCAGCTTTTAAGCAACAGACGCATGCGAACATCAACTGTTGGGAGAAGACTGTGTGAATCAGACCTGGAACTGCTGCAAAGAAACCACTCCTGAAACCAAGAAGAAAAAGAGAACTGTTTGAACCAAAACACACAAGGAAAACATTAGACCACCGGAAATCTGGACTTTGGTCGGATTAGTCTTTAATGTGAGATTCTTGGGTCCAGCTACTGTGTCTTTGTGAAACTCAGAGAAGGTGAACTTGCTCGTGTGATTCTCACGGTGAACTGTGGAGGACGGAGGAGCCCTGGTGTCAGGAGGGCTTTTCTGGTGACAGTTGGAGATTCACCCAGAATGGTCTCCACAACATTCTGCAATGATACGTTATCCTGTCTGGTTTGAGCTTCGTGACCAACAAGCTTTCAGCAGGAGCCAAAACACATTTCCAGGGTCCTTGAGGGCTGTTTGACCAAAGAGCAGAGCAGTGGAGATGCATCAAATGACCTGATGTCCACAATCACCAACCTAAACTCAACGAAGATGGTAGGACAGTCCATGGCCCAGAAATGTTTGCATGGTCCAACTCAGCTCCCCTCATGCTCCAACACTTGCCAGTTTTTGAAGTCAGATAGATAGATGGAGCCACCAGACTGAGCTAGAGGAAACCTGTGGGGGACATCAGTGAGGGTTACTTTATCTTTAATATATAGTCAATGATCTCAACCAAACATATAGTTCAGAGTTGGACCATAGAGTAAAGAAAAAGCAGCCAACAAGTGCTTCCCATGTGGGAGTGTTGGAGAAGCTCCAGGTGACGACCTCATGAAGAGGGCAAAGCTGGTATCAAGCAACAGGAGGCAATTTTGAAGCAGCTAACATTTAAATAATATGTTTCTTTGTGTACACTTTTGCTGCTTCCCTTGTAATTCCATATGCGTTACTTCATGATTTTGATGTGTTTAGCATTTTTATGCAACTTTAAGAACAGTTGTGTTATGGGATAAAATAATTTTAAAAAATAACGTAGTGTAGTGTTGATCATTTTTAGCAGCTTTACACCATGAACGTTACACATTTGTTGTCGTCCTTGTAGCAGCCATTATTGATCCGTCCATGTCATTATATTTTGAAACCCTTATCAACAGTGTAGCAACGTTAAGAGGTCAAACCACTCAGGATTTTCATGGACAAATATTTTGTTACTCTCTTATCCAAGGCAGAGTTTCAGAAGTTGGGAGGAGTCCTGAGAGACAATGAGATGGTAACGGACATCAAGCCTGGCCCTATTGTCACAGTGTCAACATCTGCTGGTGTTTATCGAACCAAGAGACTGGTGATCACCGCTGGACCCTGGGCGAACAGGCTGTTGGCCCACACAGGCTTACAGTTACCACTTGAGGTATTTAAATGCTTGATATCCCACATGTAGTCATGTTTATATAGCTGTACATTTATGCAACGATTTTAGGGTGGTATAGGTGTTCAAAAGATTAGCATATATTTGAATAAGTAGAGATCAGTAGCAAGTAAAAAGCAACATTTATAACAGAAACATTAGCATGCTAAATGCAATTTTGGCAATCACAATCTGGTGAGAAGCAACATCAGCGAAGAGTACAGTGGCTGATGGTGGTGGAGCAGTCAGCAGATGGCTGTTGGAGACTTTGGTTAGGATGACCTTGACGGCCAGGATGAGGTGGAGATAGGAAAGAGGAGGGCCACACAAGAGACAGACAACTTCAGCAGATGCATCTTTGGATAAGAGTAGGGATGTTGAAATTGAGAATGAGGTGACTTTGACAGTGCAGAAAAATGAAAGTTATGAACAGAACAGAGCAGCATGAATAGCCCATGTACATCGAGAGGAATGGAGGCAGAACATGAGAGAGCAGTCCTTCCTTTTTGGGCTCACACGAAAGCTTCATTTAGCAATACTAAAAGCTAAAAACACTCAACCATGTGATCAGGTTACTGCATACACTGTAAAGCTCAACTCTACAGTGTGGTGAATGGATCTCTGCAGTGAAATTTGTAGTTGCAAACAGATTTTTGGTTTTCTTTCCACAATTCAGCCTAAATAATCAATAGCACAATTTTGCTAACTAGCATTGCAGTTATGCAAGAAGTTTAAAGCAGAATAGTTAGTTGTCTTATAGAATATTTTAAAGTTTATTGCTTCAAATTTTGACTGTTTCATTGCCATGCTCCATTTCTTAGTTTATAGATAAACAGACTGGTCAACATGCGTAACACTCGAATCCAATAACCTGGGCCATTTGTTCATCCTCATAATTGTCCAGTGATCTCACATTGTCTTGTTTTTGCTATTTGTTCTTATTCTGTATCCTCTGTGTCCTCCTCTGATGTCAAATGTCCGTTGTTGTTGTCCAGCAGCGCCACTGAAAAGTGGCAACAGCACAGTGAAAATCACTGAACAGACGTCTGCCAAACAGAATGTTCAGAGATGGTACAACTCAGGAAAAGTCACCAGCCTCAACACAGACAAAAATAGATAAAAGAAATTGAAAAAAAAAGTTTGTAAATTCACAAAATACGTGTCGCAACTGTAACGGGCTACACGCACAGTTGGTGCATTTGCTCATATTTTATTTTAGGTGTGCACCGGTTTATGTGTGGGAAATTTAGAATGCATGTTTTTGTGTGTGCATAGTTTGCACACAGTGGAATCATCCACACATTTCACATTCCACCCTACTGTATGTTACCAGACTCTGCCTTACAGCTTGAGCTTCATCTTGAATCCAGCTCCAGTCTCTGTTCACCACTGGGATCCTGTCCTGCCTCCCCTTTAAATGCCCACATAAAGATACCGCAGAAACAAAAGCTTTTCTCCTCCATATTTGAACAGCTAAGAGGCCTGAGTCAGCAAGGCAGTCTTTTCCATTTTGCAATATGCCACACAGCCTGAAAAGAGAAGGTGATGGGAAAACAAGCAGACAGCTGTTAGAGTGGAGAATTGGAGTTGATATTGGAATTCCATTATTCAGGCAAGCAGCCGGCTGGGGGGCCTGGGGAATGCCATGCCTCAGTGAACTGGTGGAAAAGCACAGGCCCTAAGCTCATTGGCTCGTTGGAGGACTTCTGTCTGAATTTTTATGGTCCCTGGGAATGAGTGCACGGCCGGTTAGTTCATTACACTGAAAGCTCCTGAACAATGCGTCCTTATTATTGCTGCCCTCAGATGGATGTCATTTGTACAAGCATGTGTACATTTCATTAAATCCTAATTCTCAGCTCACCTCCGCAGAGCTACTTTTGTAATTGCACTTTTATTGGACAGAAAAAAACAAGAGGAGGATGGGGTAGGTGGTGTTATGCATGTGTGTATTTTAAGGCTTAGTCAGTGTGAAGTATTGGTGCTGATGCCAAGCTACTAATTTTGTGCCAGTGTGTATTCATTCAGGGTTAGGGTTTCTGGCAGAGGTAAATTAATGATCAGCTAGAAAGGTAAAAAAGAAAAAGAAATAAAAATAAAAATGAAATGATGTCTATCATCTTTGGGTTAGTCCTTTCTCATCAGCTTCCAACATTGCTATGACATTTTGAAAGAACATCCATATATCTCAGAGGTCAGTTCCTGTCGATTTTTGAGAGATTATTTTTGTCAGTTGATGGTCTAGAGAGAGTCAGAAAAATTAAGCCATCTGAATTTCAATCAAGAAGGATTTCTGCATTAAAACTAATGTGCTGCACACACATGGTCAGTCATTAGGCCTTTAGTGAAAGCCAGTTCTCTTCGGACTTGGCTGGTACTAATGGTTTCCTGCTTTACACAACTGCAGGTGGTGAAGATCAATGTATGCTACTGGAAGGAGAAGGTTCCGGGGTCCTACGATGTGAAGCGACGCTTTCCTTGCTTCATACTCACTGAGAGTCAGGAGTCCAAAGATCACATCTATGGCCTCCCATCGAATGAATATCCAGGGCTGATGAAGGTACTGGACCCTCCAGTGTGATTTTACACAAGAGAAACTTTATTCTCTGCATACATCTCCAACAGTCAAGTCATTAATACAGAATAGACTTTATCAATGATCACTTACTTTTTAATGTAATTTCATCATCAGATTTTCTAGTTGCTTCTACGGTTTAATTATTTAACATTAGCGCACTGAAGCAAACACAGCTTTTTGTCAAATAGAAGTACACACACACACACACACACACACACACACACACACTAGAGAACTGCTTATACAGGAATGTGACTTACAGAATACCAAAGCATGTGTTCTTTCACAACCAGTGAGCAATTTATGCTGGTGAACATTCAAGTTACACCACAGATATGAATATTTATATACATTACACTGTATATTGGTGCTCTTATGTAGCCTGTGACTAAAACGATAAGCACAATATGAAAAGTTAAACTAATAAGTAGTAAAAAGTATCCAAAGTCAGGTCACTACATTTTCATTCGTGCCACAGACTCAGTTTTTGGGATCTCATTTCAGTTTGCTCGTGGTAGCTAAAGCTGGCTGCTGTTCGTTTGCTGTCCAGCATTAGCTGACATTACTGTGTCAGTTTGTTTGCTTGCTGTTACCAGCAGTGGAACACATTCCCTGGCCGATTAGCCTCCATTTACTCCCGTTGTCCAGATTTTTACTGCCGTTCTACATTTAGTTTCCTATTTGTTTATATTTTGGGTCGAACTGCTTTTGGAAGACTTCAGCTGTTTCTCGACCAACAATCAATTGTGTGGCGTAACTACTCACTAAAAGGAAAGTAAAATAATAATAATAATAATAATAATAATAATAGTAATAATAATAATACTTAATTTATGTAGCACATTCTAAAACATGTTACAAAGTTCTTCACATCAGCAGATGATGAATAATCAAGTCTTAAAAAACATCTTTAAACATAATTGAAGTACATTGTCTACAAAAATATTGACCCTCTTTGGAGGTGTCCTTAGTTTTTTGTTTAACAGCACTGAAAAAGAATCATGATCAAGAAATATGCATTTAGACTAAGATTAAAATAGATCATCGCTGCTTGTGGCCTTCTTAATTTTCCACTCTGAAATGGTGTTGGACACACGTGCATTGTGCAGAATAAGCGCTTGCACTTCAGATACTTGAATTCCTGATTTTATGTACATTTCCTCAAGTAGAATTTTCAATGCTAGACTCTTTCTTTTCTCAGAGTGTCTCTTTTCCTCTGTTTAGCTCTAATAAAGCAATTCTTATGGAATAAAGTGGAAGCTTGCTTTTTTTGGAAGTATGTTTGCTTCCTTGAGTTGCTACTTTTGCTGAAGCAAAAGATCTCAGTGCTTCTTCCATCACTGTTAACCATGGGCTCCACAGTGAAAAACAGAGGATTTGTGCAAAATGTGCTGGGGTTGATGCCATCTGATGGCACATCTCTATTTTGGGCATTATGGCGAGCCAGCAGGAGCTCACAGTCTAATAGCAGACCACATGCACAGAAGGAGGGGGGGACAGATGGTGATGCCACGTCGCATTATTCACTCTGAGACACAGTCACCAGAGCTACTGTATATCCAATGTTGGGCCCATTTAATGTAGCCTGAAATACATGCCAAAATAAAGCAGGACAATACTGCGTTTACTTTGTTTTCTGTTTCTTTTCTCTGTTTGTTTATTGAACCTGCCAGGTAGTTTTCTAAAGCTGAAAATCCTGAAGAAAAAAGTGAAAAGGCAGTTCTGTTAATCTCTGAGGCTCCTCGCTTTGCCTCTAGTCTCTTGGTGAGGTCAGACGTGGCTGACAAGAGCAGCACATGAAAGCAGCGTTGGAAGTTTGGAGTGTGTGTATGACAGTGATCCTAGTCAGCAATAGGAACTTAAATAAGTAACATAGTCATGTGCAATATATTTTCAGCCTTAATGCAGGCTTTTACATGAAACTAATTTCTGAATAAACCCAATCAATGCAGCATAAATAGAGCTATGAGATTATACTTCTGCAGCCTTCCCTCCAGCCTGCCCGTGGTATGATAACCATAGACAGGAGCTGATGAATAGTAAACAAAACAAAGCACTTGGGGTTCCCATGCCCATACATAAGACATAGAAATTAATAAACTGGGAACTTATAAGCACTCTAAATAAGGCAAAATCCTCCTACAATATCCTTGGTGGATACATGATATCAAACCTACATGATCTAGGCAACCATTACTGAAACTTAAATTCTATAGAAAAATCACATTATGAGATGAGGTGACTAAACAGTGTGGTGTTGTGGGCTTTTTAACATTTTATGACACTTGCGATACATTTGGAAAGTGTTCTCAAAACCAGGATTTTCCAGTAGTATTCAAAGAAACAGTATCACCACTTATAATTGCAAATGTCCAGATAACCAATGACATACCGCATTAGCTGTTTCTTTCCCCTGTAACAGTTGCAGTTACCTCCTGCCTGCATCAGATTGTGAACCTTTTCATTTTGTTAAGGTGAACCCTCAGATAACAACTCAGCTGTAAAATATAAATGTGTTTACCAGAACTGTTGTTTATTGATTATTTTCATTCAGGCTTTCATTCAATAATACATGTTTTTTTTACCTCGCCTTCACAGTCTTGCAAGTCTCTCACGTGGCGATGATTAACCCCTAAAAATTCATCTTCAAGCCTTGAGAATACACCTTGAGAATAATCCCTTCCCGCCTAATGCATTGATGCAACTCTACGCTGTTGCTTCTTTTAGAATGCGAGGACGTATGGATTCGTCACCCCTCTCCTCACTTACCCCTACATCATTCAGTGTACCTCTACCACACCAGCTCACCTGTGACTCTGATCAGACACTGTAGAAATAGTCTAGACTGATACATGATCGATACAGAAACTTATTCTGAAGAAGAATGATGATATGGACAGCCACAGCCTGCAAGTTATCATACAAGTCGCTGATACTCTGAAGTTCCAAGATATACATGATGTTGACTGTTTTTTGTTTGTTTGTTTTTTCTCATAAAAACACTTTATGGACATGCAAACAAGATTATATTTAAAAAAAAAAAAAAAAAAGTCAGTCAGATCCAGTTTCAGATAATATCAGGGACAAAGGAAGTCATGTTTTATTTTAATGTGTGTTTTTGACCCTAGACACTTGTGTGAAATGGACACCAGCCAGCCACAACATTCAAAGCACCTGTCTCATTTTATTACACCCTGGGGAATGGCATGAAACCTCTGAGGGTGTCCTGTAGTGTCTGGCACTGAGATAGTAACTGCAGATCCTTTGGGCCCTGTGGGTTGCAGGGTGGGGGCTCTGTGAATTGGACTTGTTTTGATTCATCCCATGTAAGCTTAATTGGATTAAGGCCTGAGGAGTTTGCAGCATTTCTTGGGTGGGTTGTACGTGTCAAAGTAATATCCCCATAACTTCCAGGACCTATGTTACCTGTCATTGGTTTTAATGTTGTGGCTGAGTAGTTTTTTTCTAGCGTCGTCATGATTTTAATTGGCTGATATTTAACAATCTTCAAAGTCAGATAGTGAAAGCAGAGTTTCCCCGAATTAGACAGACTTACCACAGAAAAAAAAACATATATTGGTATAATGGTATGTACTTTGATGTAAAAAGCATAGTCTTTATAACTGTGACATGTTTAAGTGTTGCAGTCAGGGCAGCTGTGGCTGTGACTCAGGTGGTACAACAGTCTGTCCACTAATCACAGAGCTGCCAGTTCACTCCCAACCCCTTCACATCCAGACAGCTCCACTTCCACTGGTGTGTGATTGAATAGAGAAACATTGTAAATGTCTTTATTGAGCTGCTAAGGTTAAAAAGTTTTAGTAGTTAGTGTAGATTCTTTAAATATTTTAGAATAATTTAAGAACTGAAAACACTATATGAAACACACACAGCTAATATAATTTCCTTTTCACTTTCTTTATAATTAACATACATAATGTTTACTTAATTCATACTCAATTCTTAGATTATGAAAAATCTTTTAAAAAATACAAACATAAGCATGTACTACTGGAAGCAATAGGAAATTGAGGAAGTGAGAAGTTCTTTCTATTTTTTTCCATATTAGTGCCTTTGTGAACACATGAAGGTTTGCAGAGGCCCTGGTCATAAAAGGGATCAGACTGTGTGTCTTCTGATTTATTTTCATTCAAATGACGGTAAATATAAACAAAGAAATTGTACAAAAACTTGGGATTACTGAATACAAGATGAATACATGCAGAATTGTTGCTGTAAGAATATAAATAAAAGCATGCAAAACGGCAGTGATTCAATAAATACCAAAATATAGACGTTGCTGCTTTTCATTTTTCGTATGCACAAAGGCCGAGCTTTTTTTTTTTCATATAGAACTACCAGCCTATTACAATTCCCCATTGTTGTCAACCACTTGCTCAGATGGTTCTCTGTTCAAATTCATAAGGTCTTCACCTAACTGTGTTAAGTGCTGTGAGATGACATATTGTGAATTGCGCTATATAAGTAAAATTGAATTGAATTGAATTGGATTGAATTGAATTGAATTGAATTGAATTGAATTGAATTGAATTGAATTGAATTGAATTGGCTTGAATTGAATTGATCTGACACTGATGTTGTGTGTGCAGGTATGTTACCATACAGGCAGCACGGCAGACCCAGACAACAGAGACCAGCAGAAGGACAGGTCCGATATTGACATCCTCCAGCGTTGCATTAATCGCTGTTTGCCTGGCCTGGTCCCTGAACCTGCAGTGGTGGAGAGCTGCCTGTATACGGTATGATATTATGATATGTACACATAACAGTGTTCATAGTGGTCATCCTTATCCATCCAAGTATAAAGAAGGTAAAGGAAAAAACAATAAAAATAATTTACCCTACTCCCACTTTTAGAGATTTCTTCAAGAAATAAGCTGTTTCCACTCATATATGAGACACAACAACAAATGATCTTGATCCAATAATACATTTTCTGACATGCAGAGTCTTGGCAGTATCACTGTTTAAAATCTTAAATGGATGAAAAATGAACAAAGGCACACTCTATCACTATGGCTGCACTCAATACGTAACATAAGTAAGAAGTTAGGGAAGCAGATTCCCTGCAGAATGGATCATTTTACTGGTTACACCAGAAGCTTATGTTCACAGCTCGCAGGTTGTGGCAAAACAAGAGGTTTTTGGGCACAGCACAGTGCTATGAAATGTTAACTTTTTCAACAAGTTTGTGTAATATGGGTAGATGAATAAACTACAGCAGTAAATGCTGTAAGGAATAAAGTTACTAAGCAACCATCAGCTCAGCTGGTACTGGCAAATAAATACTGACGAGGGGATCATGACTCTAAACTGGAAACTGTTTGATAGAGAGTAATCACTTCCTGTGTACCCATAGTTTAATTGTAAAAGACTACATATAGTTTATCACCTATTTCTGTGTAAATGAGTTGCACACAAGTTGTGTGAAAACATAAATAGAAGACTGGTCTATTTTTGCGTTTGCAGCATGGATTTCTACAACGTATATATATAGATAGAAACAAGTTTCTGCCTGTGTGTATGTAATTTTCTGCTAGGTATTATTATCTAAAGCCATTCTCCAGGGATTCTATTTAAGTGATCCAGAGCTGTGTTTGTGTGTGTTGTGTTGGTAGGGGATTGTGCAGCCGCTCTGCCCTCAAGCAACACAGCAAGCTGCTTTTACCACGATCACATAGTGAAGCTGTAGGAAAACATCATTTCAGTGACCTTGTCCAATGCCCCTGGAAATCCTGACAATCCTTTTCTCACTTGACAACAAGTGTTTAAAGTGATTCTTGGAAGAAGACAGAGAGGAAAATTACATCTGTCTCTAAAATTGTGATCAAATTTTGTCTTCTGTCAAAGGTCATTATGTATTCTATGACAGACTCTTTGATCACGTTAAACACACTTTTAGACACATTTTTCACACAGACATTGACAGAGACAGCCCCAGAAGCCACATTACTGGATGCATAGTCCCGCACAAATAGCTCCAAGGACTATCTGCAACTGTGGAATTCACCGTTAAGCGGCAGAAGAAACATCGTAGGAGTGCTCGGGAATAAACGTGCACTAGTTGCATGGCTTTTGTAGAATAACAGGCATGGGCCAACAAATCCGGATGGTTCCTACTTAGCTCTTTAGTCTGAAAACAACAGTTTATACTGGTTTGGAGCCAGGTTCTAATCCAGCTTGGTTGAAACTAAATCAGTTTCTCCTAGAGACAGTTATCTCATTATTATCTTGTTGTCTTTACAGCTGACACCTGATCGTCATTTTGTGCTGGACTGCCACCCCACCTACAGCAACATTGTGATTGGAGCAGGTTTCTCAGGTACAGCTCAATACAACACAAAACAAAATCTTTGTAGTATGTATGCATGTAAAATTACATACCTAAGGAATCCATAAATCTTTTAACTATGAGAATTCATCTAGATGCTGCATCAGAGCTGTCCAGGTATTTGAACCTGTGTGTAGATGTTGTGGTGCTTTGTTCTAAATGCTACCATATTCTCAATGTCAATGTTATATTAAGTAGTTTTAAGGTTGTTAGGATCATCGTTATTGTCACTGGTTGGGATTAAATCTGTCTGTTTACACTGAGAGTGATAGTCAAGCCTTCAATAATATTCCAGGTCTGGGATAAATAAAGTATATTCGATTCCATTCTATTCTATTCTATACACAACCAACCACCTCTCCCTCCATAATTGGTTTATATTTTAAAACCTGCGGTCTTTCCCAGAATCAACCCCTATGTTTTATGAATGTGTCAGCAGATGCAAACATTCCAGATGTCATTTCACCAACATTAACCTGACATATTTGTATCATTGGAAACATTGAAATATGTCATTCAAAACTTTTTTCGTGGATTTAAGCAATGTTTAGTAGCACACATTTTTCTTGACCAGCTGACTGGTTTGACACTGCTTATTGTAAGGTTAACATGCTGTTTCAGTTTAAGTATCAAGTGATGAAAAACTGTATAACTTCACATAACTTTAATGTTAAACAGTAGGGTATTTG